AGAAGGCAAAGCTGCCGATGGCAGAGGGCCCCAAAACTGCAGGAGAGTTTGAACTGGCATGGCGGGGGTTCAAGGGCAACCACAGCCTCCAGGCTGCCTACCTCTGCAGGGTAGATCCCGACAGCCTCGCTGCACTGTTCAAGACGTCACTGACGCCGACTATGTGCGCTGCGATAATCGGTACAGCACTTGGGCAGCTGGGATCGGATGGGTCCCAAGGGCCTTGGCTGTGCATCCTGGAAGGCTTAACCCAGGTGCCTCGGTTTGGGATGGTGGCGATGCTCATTGGCCGGAAGGAGCGAGGTGAGCTGAAAACGGCGTGGGGGGAAGCGGCTGGCAAGCTGGAGGGGGAGGCGGCGGACAGGCTGGGTGCATTAGCGCCAATATACAAGCTGTGAAAATGGGAAGGCAGGGCGGTGCATTCCTGCCACGCTGTTTGAAGTAAACATCGATGTGAACCTGGGCATGAATATGGAGAGTTGTGAGGGAGCTTTCAGAGCAATGGCACTCACAGGGTGCTGGGGATGGTGGCCATGTCACAGCTTGTGTGTGCTCTGAGGTGTGCTTTAGAACCGGGGGACTCGTTGCCATACAGGAGAAGTTGTCTCAAGAAGAAATTTTCTCATTGTCGTTGCGCAATGAGCTTGAAGGCGCCTCTCTATGCGCATGTGAGTTCCAGGAGCACCAGCACACGCTGCTACTCCAGCCCACAGAAGCAGCCTCTGACAGCCGTTCAAGACAAGCATGACAGAGTACTACAAAGCACTGGGCCTTGTACCTCTGTTTCCTAAGATTTTTTTTTCCTAGGGACATGTGATGATATAAATGTGTGACTTCATTCACACACCCGATACATCCGGAAGCCAGGTTATGGATGTGCGGTACCTGTCCATGTTATGCTCTTGGCTCGACGTCATGTGTGAGCAACATGTCACTCAATGTGCATAGAGACGTTGCCCATTCACGATAAATTGAAATTGTGTCATCGATGAATTGAGTTCATCAGAATCAGTGTGACCCACAATAACACTGGCAGCAGGTTCTGTAGGAACCAACACCATTTTCTGGACGATCACCACGGAGTCCCCTAAACTCTTTGGGTGCCACGTGCCAGTCCATATGGATGCACAAAACCCACGATTTGAAATCAGTGGGTCCAAAAGTACCTTTGCAGGCAATGCGGGCACAAGTATCAGGGTTTTGCACGAATCCCATCGCTACGTCTGCGCTGCGCCAATATGACACAAAATATGGATAAAATTTGTAGCTTCCATACGTTGGCATCGAATGTCATCTGACCAAAATGAAGCCTGGATACCTTCCTGATTGTCACCCAGATACAATAAGACCGTCTCCACGGCCCGCCGATCCATTCCATCCTCGAGCTCTGCAGCGGCAGCTATGCCATTGAGCAACCTATCGTCCTCTGATCACTCAAGAGCGTTAGTGTGTCATGTTCCGCCTTGTGCATGTGCTTGAGCTGGAATGAGGGATTGGTTACGATAGTGCGTTCGTCTTGTGACGTGCGGTGCCCAGGCGGATTGCCTTTGGTGTATGTTTTCCTTCCTCCTATTGCCAAAAAAACGCCTATTCCCTGCCTCGTGCCTGACCTAAATCCATGCACCACACACCCACAACAGATGAACACCTTGTCTTGCGCCCCTGTAAACAATGAGTCCGAAAAATGAAGAGGTATATAGTTCCAAAAGTCCCCTAGATAATTACTCCTGAAGTAATTTCTGGAGTCTAAAATCTTGAATCCAACCTTGTTGCTATGTCTAGATTCTCGAACTGTGAATGTACCAAGGTGTTGTCAGACAGCTTCCCGCCAAGAGCATATTTGGATACCAAGCATGTCGCATGCCAGCGTTATTTGTGGCATTCTCGGTCTCCAAAACTGTTCTTGGTTGGCAGCTATGTGACAACGTGTTGTAGCAATGTTATGTGTGACAACATTTTGTGGCCATCTTATGTGACAACGATGTTCCTGAAAGGCCTTCAGTCAGTTTTGTCTGAACAACACTCATTGTACATCACTGCTGGTCAAATGGCGGGTCCAGCAACAAAAAGTCCTCTACCCCCTCTCGATGCCTGTCGACATGACTTCTTCACTGCGTTGAAGCAAGTCAGCTTTCCCACGCACGAAGCGACTCCCATACACATAAGCCACCGCCTTCCGTGAGGATATACACAGGTGGTAGCTTGAATTGCCACCTGTGTACGTCCCCTGGCAGCGTATGCTTCAATGCAATGAAAAGGTGATGCCGCCACTACGATGCACGAAGGAATTCATTTATGCACTTAAGCCATGCAATGGGCCAATGCGTTGGTCGCACACGTATTTGAGAGTCGTTATATAGCCCTTGCAATAATGCAAAACATGCGTGGCCATTGGTCCGCTGCTTGGCCAATGAAATTCGGCTGTAAGGAAACATGTGCAAGAAGTGGCATCCGCGAACGCCCACCGGAGAAGAGCCTCCACCACCCTTTCCTTGGTTTTCTTTGCTTTTGTATTCCTCGCAATCCTCGTGGAGGGGAGAGTCTCCCCTGGTGGTGATTTGGGCCAATGGGGGAGGACCAAATCATTGGCGACGTGGGGTGGAGGCCTTCGCTTGCAATTCTGACTTACGAGGCTGCTTGATTTTGCAATTCGCGGCGTTGCAAATGTGTGTGCATGCTGCGATTCGGTTTGGGATTGCCTGCCAACACTCCGTTCATCGCAGGCCCTGGATTCGACTCGGAGGGGACCAAGTATAGTGTGTGCGCGCTCCCCGCGCTCCCCGCATGGGGCCGTTCACTGCAACTGTCAAGCCACAGGAGGAGTGGAATGGGTTTGTTTGTTTGTTTGTTTGTTTGTTTGTTTGTTTGTTTGTTTGTTTGTTTGTTTGTTTGTTTGTTTGTTTGTTTGTTTGTTTGTTTGTTTGTTTGTTTGTTCCTTACATGGATGCATCGACATGAAGTCACGGCATCGATCAATGTAGCGTACCATCAAGTGAACAAAGGGCACGTCCAGGCCCAATTTTATGTCCGAAAACACGCCTCTAACGGCGGCCACAGCTGCCACCGAACCCCAGGAAACTCCCCCACGAAACAAGAGAAAATGTCTGCAAGCCAAGAATCAAAGTGATGGGCTAAGTTTCGTTCACTTCTTTTACGCAAATGTGGGCACTCACTGAGCTCAGAAAAGCTCCCAAATGGCCGCAATGTTTCCAAACCAGATTGCGCAGATTCGATGTATCAATCCCTTCTGAATTTAGCCACTTCTCGTGTACACCGATCACCCCGATGCAATCCACGAAAAGATGGTCTCAAGCCCAAAAACCAAAACCAATGAAATCCAGTGCCATACCAAGCAATACGAGCCGTACAGAATGGTCAGACTGAGCCAGAAAAGAGAAGGCCAGATTGCACTCAGCTGCTCGAATAAAACCATCCCATGGTACTAAATCGTGGCGACCAGGTCATGCCAGAACCATGACGGATCCCCAGAGATTACCATGCCAAAATAGATGGAAGGTGGCGAAGGATGGAGTGGCTACCCCCCGCCACACATTGCACTACAGCCTCCGCGCACCCAAGCCGAGATTCAGGACCAAACAATATCACGCGCGCGCCTCCGTCCGCCTCGTCCGACACACTCACAATTAAACCAAAAGATTGTTCCAATTTCGCAATCGCACGACCTCCGCGTCCCACCAGGTGAGGCACGGCAAACTGCGGGATGGAGATCACCCGCGCATCCGCCGTGCTAAGCCCAGCGGGTGAGAGCCAAGCCCAGGGCTCAGTGGCCGTTAGCTGGGGTGTCGGGGAAGGGGCATAGGGCTCCGCAGCGGCATGTGATTGCAGCCTCTCGATCAGCGCTGCTGGCACCTCGATGCGTTGCAGCTCGGAGGCTGCAACAAGCTTGTTGGTTCGCCCGTCGGTCACCTCCACTCGAAGTGCGTCCGTTCCTTCACGCGAATCTCCGGGGATCGCCCCCCCGCGCGCTCCCACACCCGTGACCAGTACCGTCACAAACTGCTCCCCACCAGAATCGTCGACTTCGCGGAGGATCGCTGTGTCGCCCGATTGGAAATCGCTTTGCGTAGACACAGGCGGGGAAGAGCGCCAGCCGTTGTCCGCCATGACTGAGTCGTTGGAGTCCGAATCGCGCTGAGCAGGCGGCCTTGGCATCCGTGACGGCGCTGCATTGGGGCCAACGGAATTGCGTTCGCAAGGCCTGCATGCATGCGAGCGAGGCGTGGCGACCTCGCCGCTCGATTGAGCCACAGAAAAATGCGAGGAGCAAAGGTCAGATGCAGCGCCAGAGTGCCCATCGTGTGGCGCCCCAGCCCAAGGAACGACGGGCGCACCGCCGTCAAGCGGAAAGATGCAACCTTCGGCTGCCAAATCGGACTTCGCCAAGCTCTCCAAATACTCCACGCCCATTGCGGTTCGATTCCAAAGCTCGACCAGCTTCTTCCCCGGCTGGTAAGGGCGTCGAAGAGCGCCAGCCTTCAACAAGAAGAGGGGCGTGTCCCCCCCACAGCGAGGCGGGGTCGGAGCTCCTCCACCAATGGACTCGCGCAGCCGCGGAAGTGACGATCCGGCCATTGCCAACCAAACGGGAAAGGGAAAACCCGACCAATCAGAAGGAACCACCCTCGGGGAGCCCTCAGGGGTCGGTCGGGGGCGGAAAAGCGCAGCCAACCGCGGCTAGCAGCCGCGCCGCCCCGAGGGCGCGAGGGGGGGGAGCGGGAGCGCGCGGGAAGATTTTGTTTGTTTGTTTTGTTTGTTTGTTTGTTTGTTTGTTTGTTTGTTTGTTTGTTTGTTTGTTCCTTACATGGATGCATCGACATGAAGTCACGGCATCGATCAATGTAGCGTACCATCCAGTGAACAAAGGGCACGTCCAGGCCCAATTTTATGTCCGAAAACACGCCTCTAACGGCGGCCACAGCTGCCACCGAACCCCAGGAAACTCCCCCACGAAACAAGAGAAAATGTCTGCAAGCCAAGAATCAAAGTGATGGGCTAAGTTTCGCTCACTTCTTTTACGCAAATGTGGGCACTCACTGAGCTCAGAAAGCTCCCAAATGGCCGCAATGTTTCCAAACCAGATTGCGCAGATTCGATGTATCAATCCCTTCTGAATTTAGCCACTTCTCGTGTAAACCGATCACCCCGATGCAATCCACGAAAAGATGGTCTCAAGCCCAAAAACCAAAACCAATGAAATCCAGTGCCATACCAAGCAATACGAGCCGTACAGAATGGTCAGACTGAGCCAGAAAAGAGAAGGCCAGATTGCACTCAGCTGCTCGAATAAAACCATCCCATGGTACTAAATCGTGGCGACCATGTCATGCTAGAACCATGACGGATCCCCAGAGATTACCATGCCAAAATAGATGGAAGG